ATAGAGTGTGTGCAAGATTGCATACCCTGTCTGTGGCAGGGCCACACTTCCTGAGTTCCTGTTGCTGTGCTATAGGCCTATGCTATAACTAGATTATTCGACTGTATTTTCACACCTGTTTGTCTTACATACCATGTTTGCAGTTCTAATATCTCTAGACATATTTCCTCAAACCTTTGTGTTAAACTTCCACATATTATAAAAAAAAATCAGTACAATTATAAATCAGCTTAAGTTTAAAAAAACCTCAAGATATTTCATTGGTTTGATTATTATTTTGGTTTGATTTATTGTTTTTTATGTAAGTGCAAATGCTGACTAGTACTTGAAATACCTGTTGCTTGTTCTGCACTAAAGAAAAATGCTTTGTGCCTCCTGGCTTTCCATTGCTATATGGAAAAAAAACATGTCAAAGTCTAGTGCGCCCGAAATTCTCACGTGCTGGGAATATTGAGTTAGTATGCTACCTCCCTCTGGTGAAGGCAGGACTTGGGTTGCTCAACCCTGATACTTCTGCCCATTTGAGGGAGCTTTACAGACAGCTTTGAGGAAAGGTCTTATTGTCCTCATTTAATTATCACCTTTTTACCTGCCAGGGCTACAGTAAAAGCAGTGGGGGAAGATTACTTCCAATTTTGACTTCTGCAAAAAATGGTTCCCAGTATTAGAGGAAGTGCCACAGAGGCAACAGTAGAGGTCCCCAAGGGCTGGTGTGTAGGCAGACTTAGTAGCAGTTCTTCAGTGTAGACTGAGGAAAGGGATGAAGTTATTCAGGAAACGGTGGCTTGTTGTGTAGTTGTGCTACGGGTTTGTCAGCCATACTGTGGTACTCCCAATTTTTATATAGACAGTTCATTGGCAGGAGACTTAAAAGGAAAACCAGTTGTTGTTATTCTTCACAACAGAACTTGTTGCCAGGGCTCAGTTCTGCCTCTAGACTGTGAAAAACAGTATTTATGCTGCCCTTTGTGTTCTCTGTTATCTGTTCTTCAAAGGCAGAAGTGAGCTAGGCTTCTGTGTTCTGTTCCACTTTATCCACAACCTCTTTTAAAGGAGTTGTGGGGGCTGGAGCAATCTTTTAAATCATCTGAGCCGGTAAACACCCAATGCTTGAAACTCCACAGGTGCCAAGTCCTCCATCCCTCCAAGATTCAGGGCAGTGTCTAGGTAAAGTGCTCCATCCATTCTGTTGGTTCCGTGGTCCAGCAGAAAGAAAGGAGTTAGGATGTTTATTGTTAAGTAAGTAGAAATACAAATGTGCCAACACTTCCTCTTTTGGTGTGGATGTAGATATATATATATCCCCGTGGTTTGTATATTAGGCTATTTTGTCTCCAGGCTCACAGTATTAAAGTTCACAGTATTTTTACTTTGCCTGGTTCTTTGAGTGAAGTAATCAAGGGAATCATTCCTTCAGGAAAAGGGTGGAAATAAATATTTGTGTCCACTTCATTCCAACACCCACAGAGAGGCCCTGCCCCAGCCCTCCAGAGCACAAGAGGAAAAAAGTTTCTATTCTTGAGTTTTTCAGATGGAATTTAAACAGAGGTCTGTAGGTTGACAAGCTAAGATGGAGGGACGGTGTTACGTGTGTAGCACTTGAGAACACTTGTTGCTGATAGCATTCACTTCTTCGGTAAGCACATTTCACTTTCTGCTCGAGTCTCTGATCGGCTTTATTCCTGCTAGGACACCTTCTTTTTTTTAGCCATGGCTTTTGTTGTTATAGTTGCTTCTTTGACTAGAAGAGGAAGAATTTCTCTGAGTGTTTTGAAGGTCAGAAGGAATCAGGTCGAACATCAAAAATCTTGATAGTTTCTTAGTTTCCCCAGCTGACCACTGAAACAAACGGATACAGAACGTCACACAGCATATCCGTTCCAGGAGATCCATACACTCGTGGGGAACGAAATGTGAGGAATGTTCCACAGTGGACTTCAGAGGAGAACATACATTTCTCATATTCAAGAGGAGCTTCCACTGAGGAATAGGAAAATGCCTCCTTAAAACCCTTCTTCTTCTGGATTTGCAGCTCTTTAGATAAAGCTCATCCTAAAAACCACTGTATTCAGATAAAAATAAGCATGTCAGTTTCTTTGTTTCATTTAGGGAGATTATCCCCAAGCTGTGTGTTTAATTTCAAAGAGAGAGTTTCTTCCACTACACTTTCTAAAATTAAAGACGGTAGGCTTTGGAGCATCATGGTTTGTAGGGCCTTCAGGCTGGGCATTCCTTGGTGATGACTGAAAGGTCTGGTTGTGTCCTTAAAGCTGTAGGCCAAATGAAGTTTTGTTCTTCCTCTCTCATGAGTTACAAATGGAGGTTAGGAGGAACAGATTCCGCCAAACTTGCCGGCAAAAGATGGATTGCTTTCCTTTTCATTAGAACAGGTAAAGACATTCTTCAGTAGAAGCAGCCACTTATGTGAGATCTTGCCTGGCAGTATTGGACTTCTTTGCGGGGGGTCCCTGGAGCTTCATAGCCAGTCTGCAGCCCGGAGAAAGTGTAGAACCCAGCATAGATGCTTTAGGTCCTGCTGTTTCCTGCCATATTAATTTTCTATTCCTCCCTCTCCCTGGGGTGGTAACTAGGTTGAAGATGATTTGGGATGGGTCACTTAGCACCAAGGACAGAGTAGACCTCAGGAGTTATCTTGGCATTGGCCATTTTAGGTATTTGTTTTACAAGTATGTACTTAAATACAGAAACTTTAAATTCCTTCATAGACAGTTACTGTATGTATTTGTCCTATTCCTACAAGCAGGGTTTTGTTTTGGCATGTTGTTATATATTAGAATTACTACAGGCAGTGCAAACATCTTGAAAAACCAGCCTACTGGGTACAACCAGTAAATATTTTCAAACCTTTATTTTTCATGTTGCTTCTTCAAGTTTAGAATTTTATAAATTGCCTAGAGACATAGCATAAGGCCTGATGCAGCAAACTGTAGTAACATACGATTGCCTTAACTATTGTTAGGCTACACAACAGTTTGTTCCCCTGCTGGGTGTTAATTATTTTTTCTTCACAGATTTCAGAAGACACTTTGGCAGTCTGGTGGGAAATGGCCAGAATCTCAGTATCAAGCTGGGAGGTCTCTACAAAGGGTTGAATTCTGAACCATAAATTTAAAATTAATTTCATGTTAAAAGACAACGATTTTGTGGGTGAACTTTTCTACAGTAGTTATACTACCAGTGACGCACCTAATAATTTCAGGAAGTAAATCTGTCTCAGCTGCTGTTAACTGCATACTTTATTCATGCTTTGAGATAGTTGCACAAACTGGGGTTGAACTAATTATTACCTAGAAGAGGAAATAAATGATGTAGACAGCACAGACCATGATCCAAAGCTCCTTTTGAACTCAATGAGAGTTCTTCTTTTGACTCTGAGATTTAGATCAGGCTCTAGCTCATAATTTCACTCCTCAAAAGCTAAGAATATTAAGTAGTTCACTTTATGGTCTTGCTAATTGTTTTGTTTTGTTTTTTTACAGTTATTCAGTTAGAAGCATGCCGACCCACTAAAGTTCGAAGTTATGCAAGCCCTTCCCTTGATCAAAATTTTTCTTCTGTTTGTTGTTTGTTTTTTTTCTTGCTGGAATTTTGACTCTTAGAGTCCTTTTCATGGAAAGATACTTTTGCTGCAGCTCAAGCTCAAATTTATATTGTTTTAATTTTTTTTCTCTTCTTTTGAGGACCATTCATTACAAGACATATTACCTAAGCTTGTGAAATTAGTTATTTTATGTGCTGGTAATTTTTATGTCTAAACTATTTCAGTTAATGAAACAGTCTTCCTACTTTTGCCTTTGTTTTAAATATAGGTACCATTGGCTACAATCAGCGGAACAGAATTGATACTCTTATGTATTTGCTAGCATATCCACAAAGGCCAATGGTTAAAACAAAAACCATTGAACTGATAGAGTTTGAGAAACTGCCAGCAGGACAGAATGCTACAGTTGCTGTAATGAGCTACAGCGGTTATGATATTGAAGATGCTCTCGTCTTAAACAAGGCCTCCTTGGACAGAGGTAAGGATTGTTTGATCATGTTCTTACATTCTGTAACGTGAACACATTCTGTTGCGTTGCATTTTTTATTTAATGAATTTTACCTTCAACGTATAAAAGGTTTGGTTTTGGTTTTTTTTTCCCCCCTGTAAATGCAGTGGCGTTTGTACATAAAGTACCTGAACATGGTACATTTCTGGTGAAATTACACAAGCTGCATATTTACATGTGAGTATAGGTTATTATGAAAATAAATGTCTGGCTTCTGACCTTAAATAACAAAGGATAAATGATCCTTTTTCAAAAATATTTAGCTTGCATAAAGTTTTAATGTGTTCGATGATCTGTTGCTGCAAGGCTTGCTTTTTAGATGGTGACCTGAGCCTTTGTTTGAGTCTAACAGAGAGGACAGTCTCATTATTTTCCCCAGCACTGAAAGCGATAGATGAAATTAGACTTTTGAATGTATTCAGCAGAAGAAAGAGAGCATGTGTTTTGTGTCATTATGAACTTCATGCTTTGAGGAAAATAATGATATACCAGCAAACAAAATAATTAAACAGAGAAACTAATTACCTACTTCCTTTTTGAAATCTCTATAGTTTGGTCTATTTTAAGCAGAAGTACATAGTTACCTTTCATTTAGTCTGGAGGTAAAATTTGTTTGTGCTGCTGCCTCCTTTTAAATGTCACTCGCACCATAAATTCTTCAATGCTGTATAAGATGAAGGAAAAAGTGTTTTTAAATTCTGCTGAGGAAAAAATTGTTTGCAAATTTGGTGTCTTTTTTTTTTATCAGTTCCCTCGAGGGGAAAATGTTGCAATGGGATGGAGTTGATTTTTAGCTGTGGTTGGCCAAAACCAGACTCTTCCATTAGTTTCTGTCTCCATTTTCTCCCCTTCCTTACACCCCTCCTCCCAGTTGCTAGGCAGCAATAATAGTATTCCTAGACATGTATCTTTGGCATTAATGTCTGCCACACTTAATTTATGCCTTTTTCTAAAACGACAACAGGCATGATTTAAAACTGACTGTTTTCTTTTCTGGTAGGCTAGTAACATTTATGGGGAAAATGAAAGACCACGTGATAGTTGACAGGAGTTACTTGACATAGTCTAACGGGTATAGATGTACTGTACATTGCCACAGCTGTCTTCCAGATGAAATAATCTTCAGTTTATTGGTAGGCATTTCCACATAGCTATCTTTCTGAATAAGAGGATTTCATGCAAAACTTGTAACCATTTGTTGCTTCTGGGGCAAGGGATGGCCAAAATGTACACTACTGTCTTGAACCTGAAGAAAAACCCAAAGTTTTCAGTAAAATTATTTAGATACCCAAGAAACACCAACAGGAAAAGAATGTACCAAACCTCTCCATTCTAATCCCAGTTAAAATAGCTTTATCTTCCATGAAGACTTTTCAGTGATGATGCACCAAAGAGTTAATGTGAAACAGGGGGAATCTGTACAGCCCCAAGATTGAACTGTCATAGTCCAGGGCCTTTTATATGCCTTAAAATGTAGCATATGTAATTGATTCCAAATTGTGAGCTTGCTTAAGGGTGAGTGACTTCCTTTGTTCAATGCTGTACACATTGAGGGCAGTCTGCAAATAATGCAAACATTTGTTTACGTATGGTAGATGGGCATATACTTATTCTTGAATTAAATCTAAAGTTACATTGAAAACCGTTGAATTTTATTTTGATAACTGCTTGATTACAAAATGCAGCTTATGCTGTACTTAATGTGATTTGGTTTCATTCTAGGATTTGGAAGATGTCTTGTATACAAGAATGCTAAGTGTACTCTGAAGCGCTACACAAATCAGACATTTGATAAAGTGATGGGTCCAATGTTGGATGCAGCTACACGTAAACCAATTTGGCGTCATGAAATTTTAGATGCTGATGGAATCTGCTCTCCAGGTGTGTCCAACCTTACAGATGTTATTGTTATATTAAAATTTATCAGGAAAAAGAAATCGGCCTTTCTTACAAATGGTGTGATAATGATTCTATATCTTAAAGTACTGTATCTTTTTATAGAAGCTTATAATTGAAAGACACTACATTCTGACATGTCTGAAAATTAATCTGACAACTTCTGCTCTGTTTGCTAATATACATGAGAAAAAGATATTTTAAATATAGATCAATATGTCTGCATTTTCATGCCTTGGCCAATGCGATACTATGTTGTTAAAATATTTCCAAAGTCTCAAAACTTACCTTTGTCCTTTTACTTTCCCTAATCTGCACATCTCTGATGTTGGTGAACCTTTGCTAGTTGGTCTGTCTTCTGCCATTGGATCTAGAGCTTTAAACTACTTATGAAATTGGGATATGGTACCAGAGGAGTACTGTAGCTACCAACATTTTGCAATTAATAAGGACATTTAGAGTGAGAAAAGAGAAGTATCTGAACTCTCTAGGTATGTGTTGGTGGAACAAATAAATGATGATCATATCAATATATTTAATTATGAGGAAGTTTGTGTATGTAATGTATACAGAAGAGAGGATCCCTTCAACACTGATGTCTTTCAGTTAGAGAAGCAGCGATACTACCGTGTATTTAAAAAAACAAACAAAAAAAACCAAAAAAACAAAAAAAAGCCAAATGTCAGTAATTTAA